TCCTTCAGCTGCAGGTTGGATAGTGTTGTCTAAACTTGTGCTGACTGCTTGAAGCATCTCTAAAAAGTGCTCTGAAAACAGAAGACCACAAATCGTGACCTGTACAACAAGCTGAGTTTGTCACTCTCAGTTCATCCAGTCCTGGCTTTTTGTTGTATTTGGTGAAGGATGGAAAAGGATTGTCTCTCTGCTTTTTGCAAGCCTCGGTAGCCTTCCATGAATCTTCAGGAGGTGAATAGACTTAAATGCAATGTATACCTGAAGTATGCTAACAAACATGCATACACATGATGACAGTCAAACTGCTGTTAATTTCTTACACAGTAGTGGAGAGGAACTGGTGAAATGTGATGAGAAAGCTGTTAGGTGAATGCAAGAGGTGTGCGACAGTGCCATGTTAGGCAGCTCCTTCTGGCTGCCAAGGAAATACAGAGCCCTCTGAATGTTTGAGCAAAACCAGCAGAAGCTTTGGAAGACATTTGTGGCTCTTAACACTTCTAATATGGGAAACTTACTTTAAGAATACATTTCTTAAGAATTAAGAAACACCGAAAGAATAGGTTTCAATGCTGAGTTGAGTGCACATTTGTGTTGGAGATGGGCCAAAGCTAGATAAGTGCTTCTATAGCACGTTGTGTTTTGTCTTGTGCAGTAGTTTCTCCTTGAAGAGAGAGAGAATGAAACTGAGAGGAAAAGGACAGGTTGAGTCATTTGGATGTGGGTGCAGGTTCCAGACCTTTCCAGACTTCTCTTGATGGGTTAGTGCTTGAATAAAATTGAAAACTCTTGATTTTCTTACAAACTACAAGTGCAGGAGTGATTCCTTCCTCCTTCCTCTGCTGATCACAGCCACGTGTTCATCCTGGCAGTTGTGCCTGGGCCGGGCTGTGCTCGCTTGCCTTGTCCTGCTGCTGCTGGTGCAGTTGCAGAGCCTTTGTGGGATCCCAGATGCACTCACTGATAATTTACCCTTTTCTCCAGGCGTTTCTCTGCTGGGCTGGGAGTGAAATACAGGAAGTTTTTGCCCTGAATGAACATGGCAGTTGAGACTACTTGCATCAGACCTCCCCAAACTTTGGCAATAAAGGCCAGCCCATCTCCAAATAACTGTATATAGTTTTCTGGGCAAGAAAAAAAAGCTCAAGCTGTCGATATGTGCTTTCTTCCCTTTTTTTTTTATAACAGCTTTATGAATAATAAATTGATTTTTAAAGCAAGCAAACACAAGAAAAATGCAGACATGTCTCTCCAGTTTAGGTTGCTTTCCTCATTCTCCCTAGCAGAGGAAAGAGGCCAGGATCCTCTTACCAGCCCAGCACTTGCAGAGGGTAGGTAAATCTGGAGCAGCTTGGCAGGAGAAGGCAGTGCCCTGCTGTCAGCAGATGGTGCCCTCATCGAGAATAAGAAACAAGAAATACTTTCCAGAGAGTGTTTGGCACTGTGGCAGCCTTGTCTGGAATCAGTTAGGAAGACAAGTTCCTCAGTTGGTGTCTCCTTGCAATGTCAACTTCAGCCCATTGGAAGCATCCCAGCTCATATTCAGAGATGGTTCTGTCCCCAGAAAACTTTGTTATGATATCACTGTTGGCTTTCCTCTGCAAATTACTGTACAACTTAAATGTCAGTATTCAAACCTTGAAGTGCATGGGATTTGTTTAGCCAGAAGTACAAATGAAATTTAGTTTGAGCTCCTGGCAAGACTTTCACATTTATCAAACTGACATTCAGACCAAAGAAGTAAAAATACAGCTAAAATATCAGGTGCCACTGAATGCCTAGGGAAACCATGACAGGAGTGTTGCTTTTCTTTTCCTCCTACAATCAAATTTATCTACACTTCTGAACAAACATCTGCATGAAGTATTTGGTGTTTTTTTCTTTTTTCCCTTGGACCTAGTTTTGCATCTTAAACAAGCCAATAGCTCAGCCAGCTTGGACAGGGTCTTTGTGGCCATGTGAAAACCCTTTAATGCTTGTGGTATCTGGGATGTCCAAATGCAGGCTCCAGAGCCTTGGTAGGCACCTCAAGTGTGTAAGTGTGGCCAAACAGAAAAGGTTCCAACTTCCAAATTCTGACTGGTCAACTCATCCAGTAAACCCATTTCTCTGCTTCAGTCTTTTGTGACTTTTGATGTGGGGCAGTAACTTAATTCCTGCAAATAGCAGGACTTGCCCAGGGCAGATGTGCCAAGGTGGTCTTTCTTTTCCAAATTCTCATCTTGTATTCCAATGGAATGAAAAAATTGTCCATGCTTTTACCATCTATAATATTCTGTATTTGGTTATATTCTATAATGAAAGAAACAAGGAAGGGCAATTATTTATTTTTTTTGAAAAGGCATATTTGAGACTTTGCGAAGGAAGCTTTTGATCATCTTCAAGGCCCTAAAAAAACAATGGGAAAGGAAATGTAGCTTAAGGCAGACACTGCCACTAGCTCTGCTTCAAAAGAAGCATTTTGTGGAAAATAATCCTGATAAAGGATGGAATAAATACAATAAATAATACTGTATTTTGTCCTCAAGTTGCTGTCTGTGTTCTCAGAAGTGGGAGCCATGGTAAGGATGGCAAAACATACTGTGTTCACCTCCTTTGCCTTTTGCTGCTGAAGATAGCTTATTTCAGATTGAAACATCCCATACTTCTGCCAAAAGTGAAATTTTTATTTTGATGAGTTGTTTAAGGTGTTTTAAGCATGAGAAGTGTAAAAATAAGCATTTCTTCTCTATTAAACCTGTTATAATAAAATGAGATGTGTGTGGTTTTGAGTGACTATACAGCTAAAGCAGCTAAATTACAAAACCTGGAGATTAACTGTGACTGCAGAGTGGTGCTTATCTTTAGCCTTCATGGACTCAGTTTGGGCTTCTCTGCTTTTTTTTAGAGCTCAGGGTGAACTGGAGTAGCAACATGTAGTGTATGCCACTCAAAACTAGTCACTTCAAACCAGTCACCTCGCCAAGCTGGAACCTGAAATAGCAAGAATCACCTTTGCAGAATGAGGCATAATGGGAAGAACCATCATGGAAAAATGCAGATTTGTTGTAATCCTACTGATTAGGTTTTTGTCAGCTTTAACTAAATGATTACGTGGAAATTTTCTCTGGTTCAACATGTCATTTGAACAGGAAAGGAGAGAAGTAGGATAGGTTAAAATGCCAGATCCTGTAGGTCTATCAGTACGCTGGATGGCTTATACACTTCATGCTGTGCAGAAAGGGTCAGCAGGATAGTTAACAGCTTTCAGATCTTCTGATGGATATTCTTGGTTTCATCAATAAAATCCCATATACTTTTATCTGCTATGGCTCCAAATTGGGTAGAGTAGGGACTTCTCACAGATGAGTGACTTCAGCAAGTGTGTGGCATCCCTTTAAGCATCAGCCTTAGATTTGAGCTCTAGTTCTGTGCTTGAGGTGCTGCCAGCTGTGCTAATGGTTCATTGGAAGAGAAGAAACATGATCTCATAAAATATACTAGATAGTGGAGATTGTTTCTGTAAAATTGAATAGCCTGGTGCTGTGTGATCCATGAGGCTGTGAGTAAACCATCCAATTTTCCATGCTATGCAGTAAAAAAAAAAAATGAGAGGTTTGGATGCTAGTGTACGTGTCCAGTAACAAAACTGTGTGTAAGTACTTTTCTGCCACTAGTGAAAGCAGAGCCTGTAGCATTGGTGCTGCCTGGAAACCTGAAGGAGAGGCGGCAGTCTGGGCGATGTCAGCCTGGATCTGGGATTGCCCTGGCTCCAGCAGTTATGCAGAATGTGACACAATCACTTAGGAGGAGACCTGAGTTACTGCTAATACGAGCATAGAAGCATTGGCCAAAGCGAGGGGATTGCAAGGCAACTCCCTTTGCTTAGTTATGGAGTATTTAATCTGCCCTCCTTGCTAGTTCTTGCTTTTCTCTGTTATACAATTTGTATTCGTTGCCTGTTGCAAAGTGATGGCATGTAACAAAGTGGAAAATGAGATCTTCCCCTGCAGAGTTTGTGCTCTGCTACCCAGGAGAGGTGGGGCATGAATTAAAATGTACTTTGTAGGCAGTGATCAACATGCATGGCAGAGATGTCACTGACGTGCTGCAGTCTGGTTGTGATTTCTGTTTTTGCTGTAGTGCTGCTGGCAGCATCCTGCTGTTGTCAGCTAAGATCCTTAGGATCTGATTTTGTAAATAGATGTATTTCAGGAAGCAACCATGTTTGCAGAGAGTAAAGCTAGTCTGAGGATATCTTGAAGTGTTGCTTTGGCACTTTGAAGATTTCTCACTTGTAACTCACCCTTCTGAACTAGGATGCAGTTGACCTCGTGTAGAAGCTGTCTGGCTGTTTTTCCAGCTGACTTGTGAAGTGCTTTGCAGGGCTTTGTGTGGAGAGCAGCCCAGGCATTCCCATGCTTCTTGGCTGCCTGAGCAGCCCCCAGGGAAGATTCTTCAAGCAGTGCTAGCACAGGCCAGGATGAGAAGGTGTCCAGGACCATGGCATGCTGATGCCATTTACATGGGTTTGTCAGCTCTGCCAATGTTTTGAAACCCAAGTAGAATTTTTAAAAATGGAGAAGTTTGTGTACAGTTTTGTTAGGTGCCCAGCATAATATTCTAGGCTTGCAGGTGCACAGAATTTGGTAGCTATATTTTCCTTACATATTGTGTTCATATAAACTATGTCAGTTGTGCTTTGAGGCTGATGGAAGTTAATGTTCAGGGGTGCTGAAAATCTTCATCAGGTGAAGCTTATGGAGAAACATGAAAACCAGAGCATCAAAATTCGTTGAACAATTGAAAGTAAAGAACAGAATTGCTTTTCTATCTACTAATGCTTTGAATGATATTAATATAACGACCCAAGATACCGTGTTTTTGTTACATATGACATGAACCCTATGAATGTCACAAAGCAAGAGCGAGAAACAAATCCACCGGAGTATCTGACACCTTACAGAGTGTCTTGCGGACCCTTTATATGTGATATGTTTTGCTATGATTATTATGTTTTCCAGTGTATTTGAAAAAGATCCCAATGGAGTTGATTCCACTGCGAGTTCCAGCCACCGAACCAGAAATCTTCTGGAGTTCTCAGCTAGCCAGGAGGCCAGCACAGCTCAGAAAATACCTGGGGACATTATTCCTGAAAACAGTAATAGGTGAGATGAAACCCCTTCACATATTTTACGTGCCAGAGGGCAATAGTGGTTTTCCACCTCACTGCCCTTCCATTTGCCACCCTTTTTGGCCAGTGCTATTGCTGCTCTATAGAGCAACTGAGTTTACAAACACAATGTTTGAAAATGGATTTTTTTTTTTAATTATTTAACAAAGTTTACCAGATTACTCTTCAAATTAATCTGATGTTTTATCTCCAAGATTGCCCAATACATAGAGGTTCAGAAGTGTACATGCGGCTCTGCTGTATGGTGTTAGGGACAGTGTGGTGGAAGAGAGCATATAAACAAAGTGTGTGTCATGAAGATTTTCATGACCACCTTCTGTTCTTCATCTGTCTGCTTTTTTCCCTGATTAGTTGCTCAAGAGAAAACTAGGGAAATTCATGATTAAGAACATATTCTGAACTTAGCACTCTTCTAGAAATCTGAGTTCATCCTTATACTTACCCATTATTTGATTATGTAGTTGCTTTCAAGCTTCCTAACTCTCTAGCATTCAGTGCATAAGTGAACATATGAATGTATTTGGGTTGAAGTCTAGCTAATCCAGCCCGTGTTTTCCCCTTACAAACTTTGCCCCATCTGTCACTTTCTAGTAGAGTGTTTTGGCTGGTTGAACAAAGCCAGGCCCAGATGTGCAGAAAGCACTAATGTATTTTGCTAGGCAGAGAGAAGGCAATAAATCAAGAGCACTTTAAGGCTGTAGCCATGGTGAGGGCTTTGTGTCCTACGTGGCATGTTTCATACCATGACTTATGTGACGTGGTGGGAGAGTAGTTCTCTTAGGAGGATATGTTAGTGCCTGTACCACCTCCTTTTCCTTCATGCTTTTTTGGCAAGCTATGAGTTCTTTGGTATGTATTCTCCTTTATCAGTTGTAGATGCAGTACACAGGAGAAGCAGATGTGGAGAGAAAGCTGGGAAAGGAAGTGAAATATGAATAAGGCTTTCATAAGTTTTTCTACTTGATTTTTTAAGAAAGAAGTTTAGGAGCTACAAGTGTCTGTCAAAACCAAGAGGATTAAGTCTGTTATACAGATACCCTATCAAGAAAGGAACTTATAATAGGTATTTAGTGATAAGTAGGAACCCCTCAGGTAGTACAGATAACTTGGAGAAAGGAATGTTAGTCTTTGCTATGTTGCTGTGAATGCTGTGGATTTTTGTATTGGAATATATGTTCTTTTTCACTTTTTATCAGAGCGAAGCTGGATTCTGGGGAGTGTTTGAGATGTAAATCCTCTCCACGCACAGTGGCTAATATAATAGTGGCTAATAAATTTAGTAGAAAATCTTATGTGGCTGTGGAACAAAAGAGAAAGTTGCCTCTGCAGAGATATCATAGTTTATGTATTGTGAAGAATATTTTGCAGGCTACATTTTCTTTTAAAATCTGGCATGTTTGGGAAGAGATCCAGTATCTGCTAATGCTTAACTTTGTGGAGTGCTATCAGACCCCTTGGGGGAATTGACTGAGGCCACTGAATATTTGATAGAAATTGTTATTTACCTGTTTCAGGGCTCAGGTTTAACCTTTGTGGGTTTGTTGATGGTAGTGCTTATTCTCTGAACTTGGTCAAAGCATCATGAAAAACTATATTAAGGCATTTCTTGATGTCTTTTTTTTCCAGGGTTGATCGTTCTGTGTCTGACAACAAAGCACTGATGATAGTCTCAGAGGAGCCACTGTTATATATTTCACCACCCCCACCCCCCTGTCAGCCTCTGATCAACCGGACAGAGTCACTCAGGTGAGCAAACAAACTTTTCTGAGCATTTAAGCATTCATTAGGAGTTTAGATATAAATTGTGTGTTGGGTGAGTGCTACTGACAGTCAGCTCTGGATGATGTTGTGGCCTGTTCAGAGCGTTCTTCCAGTGTGTGACCAGTGCCTCTGTGTCTGCATTGTCCAGCACCTACTACCACGGAGACAAGATTGACTTGCATCTGTGTCATCTTTTAATGTTTTTAGTAATGATTTGCACTCAGTTTTCACACTAGTGATTCAGCAGTAATGAAATAACAATCTTCTTATTGCCTGGGGGTTTTTCATGACACAAAAGAGAAATTACTTCATATGTAGAAGTGCTCGTAATACGGAAACCGAATCCAGCTAAAAGCCTGTTCCATCTGAAGTACATAAAAGATTATCTGCTTCTCAGCTTCTTATACAAGAATACTATTGATCTGTAGTATCTTTCTAGTGTCTCTTAAACTGATTTCGAAAATGAAAAAATTCTACCACTGTTCTTTGAAACATCTGTTAATGCTGTGGGTTTTTCTAGGCTGAATCATGAGCTTCGAGGATGGGTTCATAGACATGAAGTGGAACGAACAAGATCTAGAAGGCGGTCAAACAACCATCAGCAAAAAGCACGGGTTATGCAGGTAGGCAGCCTTAGAGTGAATCAATAAAATGACAAGATAATTTCAGGCAACATGACACAATACTCTCTCTTACTTGTCTGTGCCTGTCATTATAGACAGAAGTAGCAATGGTGCCTGTAATTAGGGTACTCAGCACTTCCCATTTTAAATTTCTGGGTTGGGTTGATTACTATGTTGACAAAGTTCTTCCACTCCTGCACTTGGATTCAGGCTAAAGGTTTTTAATTTGTTTTAGTGGTCCTCAGCATATGTTCAGTGTTTTCTAAAGTTACTTGTATGATTTCCCTGCAAGGCTGTGTAAGGATAAGGATGAACAGTTAACAGAGAGAAATATAATGTATGGCACTTTCATCTGGTTCATGGTTAAGCAGCATAGCTGATGGGTTTTGATGAAATATTTCTATTTTTTATTTTTTCAGATTTTTGCTAGAGGGGTATGTTTTTGGTAAGACTACAGAATTCTGAGATTTGTGCTTGTATTTCCCATTTTTTCAAATCCCTTTCATCTACGTCATATACCAGTAGTGAAGATGAAATTAAGATTGTGCATTTTTCAGAGCGTTTCATTTAATTAAGAGCCCTAAAAAGGAATGGAACTTATCAATGTGGGAAATACCATACTTTTCTAGAGAAAAATTATTGAATACTTGTTCTGCCAATGACCAGGCCCAACAAGAATGATACAGCCAGCAGAAAGAGAAATCAATACACAGACTGCATTGTAATCAGAAACATCATGACATTAATGACCTCAGGGGGTACAAACAAGTCAATCAGCTGGTACATAATCAACACCACCCCCAACAATCCCACAAAAGATGTGACTCGGCGCACAACAGGTGGTACAAACAGTGAACCAAGGTTTCACATAGTTGGCATGGGAAACAGCCAAACCAGTAAGTTAAATACATAAGAAAAAGGTGCCCACATGGCAACTCTCACCCAATCAGCCCGCGTTCACAAAGGCCTAAACAGACCAGGGCCCAGCTCCAGGGAGAGTCAGGAGGTCTTCCCTGAACCAGGAAGCTCTGGGGAGTGCACTCCACAGACAGACACTCCTGACTCCCTGCAAGTGGTCCCAGCTTAGCCGCCTGACCTTTGTCAACTCAAGGGGGGACCCCTGGGGCTCATTTCCCTTATGGCTCTCCCTGCAGGGCCGGCCGCACCCTGGGGGGAAGCTATAAGGCAAACTCACCACCTCTTTATGAAGGGCTGTGGGAATCACCCATATGTCAACCTTAATTCGGGGCTCGGGGTTCAAACCCCAACATTTCAATACTGAACTTCAGATTCTTCTAACTGGTGTCCAGAGGAAATCAGACATTTAAGCAGGGTGAATTCACGTGCTTCCAGTGTTTCAGATGCCAGAAGTCTGTTATGGGTAGTATATTTTGGCAGTGATACGAAGTGGATGTGACCTCAGAAGAATTCTGCAAATCTGACATCACGGATAGCAAATTTTGCACTTGGATGACACAATATGTGGAACTACTGCATCTGTTGCCAGCCTCCCATTGTGTCTGAATGTATGACTTTAAATTTAGCTGTATTAAAACACTGGGTTTTGTGCTTGCAGCTTGATCACTGACCATTTCAGTTATTCATGTTTCACCAGTGGGAAAAAAATGCATTTATTGTTCAGGGCACTGATTAACCTCTGCAGCCCCTCGTATATTCACTTTCCGCTAGAGATGTGTGTCACGTTTTGTGTAGTGCCAAACCAAGGAAAGGCTTTTTGTTTTCACTTGGTGTCATCTTTCTGCTCTCTCCCTTTTTCAGAGCTCCCTCAGTAAGAAGGCAGATTCTCAGCTAATGGCCATGCCTTACACAGACACCAGCCTCAGGTAAGGTAGAACAACAGCTTTGTTGTTTCCATCTACTTAATAATCTAGTTTTTCACCAACAGCCGGTAGAAGACGCCATTATGGCTATTACCAAATTATTTTGCAAAAGTTAAAGTATTTTCTCATTCCCCCTGTCCCTCCCATGCCATGTGGGAACTACAGACCTGTCAGTCTGAGCTTGGTGCCAGGGTCATGGAACAGAACATCTCGCGTGCCATTATGTACCATATACAGGACTTCCAGGTGATCAGGCCCAATCAGTATGGGTTTGTGAAAGGCAGGCCCTGCCTGACAAACCTGATCTCCTTCTACGGATGGATGGATGAGGGAAAGGCTGTGGATGTTGTCTACCTGGACTTCTGTAAGGCCGTTGACACTGTTTCTCGTAGCATTCTTATGAACAAAAGGGCTGCTTACGGCTTAGATGAGCATGTGCTCTGCTGGATAAAACACTGCCTGGATGGCCAGGCTCAGAGCATGGTGGTGAATGGAGTCAAATCCAGCTGGTGGCTGGTCACAAGTGGTGTTCCCCAGGGCTCAGTGTTGGGACCACTTCTGTTTAACATCTTCATCAATGGTCTTGATGAGGAGACAGAGTGCACCCTTACTAAGTCTGCAGATGACACGAAGTTGGATCGAAGTGTTGATCTGCTTGAAGGTAGGGAGGTTCTACAGAGAGACTTGGACAGACTGGATTGATGGGCCTTTGTCAGTTCTATGAACTTCAACAAGGCCAAGTGTTGGGTCCTGCACTTTGGTCACAACAACCACAACACAACGCTACAGGCTTGGGGAAGGGTGGCTGGAAAGCTCCTTGGAGGAAAGAAACCTGGAGGGGGGGTACTGATTGACAAGGGTCTGAATATAAGCCAGCGGTGTGCCCAGGTGGCCAAGAATGCTGATGGCCTCCTGGCTTGTATTAGAAATAGTGTGGCAAAAAGGACCAGAGAGGTGATTGTCCTTCTGTACTTGGCATTGATGAGGCCACACCTTGAATACTGTGTTCAGTTTTGGGCACCTCAATACAAGAAAGACATTGAGGTGCTGGAGTGGGTCCAAAGAAGAGCAACTAAGCCGGTGAAGGGCTTAGAAAACAAGTCTTAAGAGGAGCAGCTGAGGAAACTGGGGCTATTTAGTCTGAAGAAAAGGAGGCTGAGGGGAGACCTTATTGCTCTCTACGACTGCCTGAAATGGCATTGTAGAGAGGAAGGTGCTGATCTCTTCTCACAAGTAACAAATGATAGAACAAGAGGGAATGGTCTCAAGCTGCTTCAGGGGAGGTTTAGACTGGAAATTAGGAAGAAGCTTTTTCATTGAAAAGGTTGTCAGGTAGTGGAAGATGCTGCTCAGGGAGATGGTGGAGTCACCACCCTTGGATGTGTTTAAAAGCTGTGTAGATGAGGTGCTTGGGGGTATGGCTTAGAAGAGGATTTGGTAGAATATGGTAGAGTAGGGTTAGTGGTTGGACTTGATGATCTTAAAAGTCTTTTCCAACCAAAGTGATTCTGTGATTCTATATACTTATCCTGTCCCTCTTCCCTGGGCACAGGAAGGAGCTGGAGAGATAAGCTTAAGCAAATAGAAATTTTCTCTCCTGAATTCTCTGTGACAATGTGTAAAAGGTTCTTTGCTTTAAAGTGACAAAGAGAAGTCAGCAGAATGTAGTGTAATGTGGACTTTTGGGTGAGAAGAACACCTGAAATGTGTCCACTGAAAGCAAGACAGCTGGGGCCCTTCTGTTTCAGTTGCTGCTTTGAAAGCAGGATCAACCTGGGATAAAATAGCAAGCTGCACGCAAATGTTGTGGAAACCAGGCTGCCAAATTTTGAGGGGTCTTGACTAAGAAGAAAAAAGAAGAAAAAGCTTTTTTAGTTCTACAGGCAGATGAAGGATGTCTGTTTTAACTGAGGACCGGATGAACAAGCCTCATGGCGTAGGGCAGTAGAATACGCATGCCTGCATTACTCTTAAAAAAATAATCTGGGCTGTTAGAAACAGTCTGCAACATCAGAACTCTGTATGGAATAATCTACTGTGCTCAGAAGGAAGTAAGAATTTATTTTTTTTTTTTTAATTTTGGGTGAATGATGTTTAAATGAACAGGAACCAGTGAGTCATGGCAGCTGCATGTTGTGACTGTCCTAGAACTGCTAAGAACATAGAACAGACTTCCAGTTCCTCCCAAAGCCATCAGCTGTTAGATGCTTCATGAAATCATAGAATCACAGGGTAGCTTAGGTTGTGAAGGACTTCTGGAGGTCTCTAGTCCAACCTCCTACTCAAAGCAGGTTTAACTTCAGGTCTACTCTGTGTCTGTCAGAAAAGACTGTCTCCATTTGTAACTCCCATTAGGACACTGAGGATTGCTATGAGAGCCTCCTCTTCTCCAGGCTGAACAAACTTGGTGCCCTCTGTCTCCCATCTCATCTTGCACGTCCTGGACTCTAGGCATTGCCTGTGGAGAACTGCTAATGAACTAGCCTTATCTCTGCAAATGTGTAAACCCAAAAAACTAAACTGCTTTTAGGTTTCTTGATATGTAATGTAAATGTTTGTAGATAGCCCTGAAGCTTTTGCTAATGATTCAAATGCCTTTTTGTGGCTGTGACCAGAAATGGAGTGACCTTTACCTTCTAGAATACCCTTGCTGGTGACTAATCCATGAACAGGAGGACGTTGGCAGGATCTAGATTTATCTTTGTAGCACTGCTGATACCACTGTTGTCACAGTGGTCCTGGAATCCAAAAGAAAATTGATCGATTTAAAAGTATTGCAATGAAGTCGAAACAGAAGAAAAAGATCAAAATCAAGATGATAACCATTAACTATCCCTCAGATCTCTTCAGTCTTTATAGCTTTCTTCAGAGGTTGTTTTGGTGAGGGTTTCTGTAGTGTGTGTTTAGGGCTCCAGATATCAAACCAGGACTTGAAAATTATTTTAGTTTCTAAATTTTGTACTATTAAAATTGTGTTTCTTGGGCTTAAAGCACTGAGTCCACAGCCTCATTCCTTCTTAAAACAAGCATACATGCAACATCCTAGTGCTCTGTGGTGCATAACAGAGTGCCTTTCAAACTTTTAATATATAGGATTTAATACGATGCTTTCTTGTGACATGGTAACGTATTACTAAAACAGCTGATAGCTTTGCACTTCTTTTTGGGCTTTAAGTTTCTCCCTTTTCTTCATGGAGTAAGTCCATGGTGGGTACTCTTGAATGCCCAAAGGTAGGTATGGTGTAATACTAGTGGATTACTGGTATCACTTGGAATTTGGGACTGGTGATAGACTTGTTCCATGAACCCAGGAGAGGTTTGTAAAGACCCAGTGGTTTCCAAGTGCTTTGGAACTATTTTCTCCCATAGCTGGATTTAGAATTATAAAAGGCTGTTTTTTAGGTCTAGCTGTATCTTCTTGAGTGTGGGCGAGCAAACGGATCTGTGGGACCTGTTTCAGTTTTCAGGATGTGTTTTACTGAGCAGTGTGTGGGCGTGATGCCTTTTATCACAGTAAAACTTCAATGCTGAATCTCAGGGGTGGTTTGGTGGGCCTACGTGTTTTTATGAATGAGTAATCAAGCTCAAATTAGTCCCAGTATTTGTTTCCTGTGTGTGAAAGGATGTGATCTGATTCCTCACTTGCATAGTTCTTCTAAAGAAGAGTAGAGCTGCCTGCTTTTGATCCCCCAGGATTTACACCCCCAGTCCTGTTAAATGGCAACTGGCTTGGCAGCTACAGTCCTTCAATTGCAACAGGACTCTATTAGCAGTAAGAGAGGAGATAATGGTGGTCTACTATTACTGCTGCTCAGAAAAATCACTGGATGACAGATTTCTGCCTTGTTTTGGGTGCATAGTTATGTATAGTTTAGAAACATACCAAAACAATCTAAGTCAGCCACCATAGTTTAAAAACTGGGTCAGTAAAAGACAGCTTGGGAGGGATAGTCTGATCAGTGTTTCTGCCACAAGTACTGCAAACAGACAGCATGCTATTAAAGTGGGAAGGAATTAAAATGACTGGTTGAGGGTCCAGCTAATGGTTTGTGTAAGTACAGCTTTCCAATTTGATTAAATATGTTATTTTTGAATGGGATTGGGGAAGTATATATGATAGCAATGTGTGCTGGGAATTTCTCACTTTTCCAAGATAAACAGTGGATAAGTACCATGATTGTACAGTTTGCCAGTGTTTTTGCCTAGAATAGTTTAGACAGAGTGTCTTTTCCTCATGCCATATGTGAGATGAGAATTGTGAAGAAGATAATTCAAAATTATGTGAATATCTTAACTTTGTTGCATTGTCTCAATTGAAAATCAAGAACAAGTCTTTGAGTTAATCAAAGAGACACAAAGAAGGGGAAAAAATGTGGATGAGAGAGAAGGTAGAGTTGTCACTTGACAGTAAATTGAGAGCTCTGTTTATGCTTAACTTTGCACTTCTGTCAACTTGAATGGTTTGGATACTTAGCAGTAAAATAAATAATAAATTATTAAACGTTTTGGGTTTTTATGTCAGAATGACATTTCATTCTGAAATCTGCTGAAATCTGTTTCCAAAAGTCATCACAATTTTTGAGACACTTTAGATTGCCTTGAATTTTATTTTTTTTAATTTATTTTTTTTTACTATTGAGCTAGTAAGTAGTTTTTTGCCAGCCTCAAAAGCATGAATAAAATCAAGCCTGGCAAATTTTCCTGCAGCAAGTCCTTCAAAGCACCTTGAACTTTCAAAAAATACCCAGTAGTTTCACTGTCTTCACTTGTGTTTAAGGTTCCACATGCTTCTCTCAGTGAATGAAGAGATGCTGTTCTTTTGAAAAGTAGATCTTTAAAGTCATTGTCTCACTGAAGTTAACTTTCTTGTCTATAATAATTACATTCCCCTCTTCTTTATTTCAGAAGGAACTCAGGGAATGAGCTACAAGTGTATTATGCCTCTCCGAGGAGCTATCAAGACTTTTTTGAAGCTCTTCACAGAAAGGAAGATACGTTCTACGTGGTGTCATTTCGCAGAGTAAGTGTAGTAGTTGTTCAGTACTGGCCTTTTATGTGTACCCGTGAGATTGTTTCTAACACTGAGTGGATTTCCTTGTAATAGAAAAGGTGACCTAGTCAAGGTTCAAGCTAAATTTGTTTCTTCATGAGTGATATTTCTGTTTATCCTTTAGAGTAATATGGCTAGATCACAATCTTTGCAAAATATGCCCATCACAGTTAGGAATGGAAAGGGAGCTTTGCAGAAAACTTTAGTGCCAGGGCAAAACAGCACAAAATTGCATGAATCCTGTGGCTAAATACTTAGGCATGGTAGCAGTCCAATAATGAGAATAGTTACATGGCTATTTATTTAATAGATGTATAAACCGTTTATGCTTCTGGGAATAAATGTACCTTGTACATAAATTATTTCTGCTACCTTAATATAATATTGCTTTTATCTGCCCCTAAAACACTTGCATTTGCAGTTTTATGTGTTGCATATTGCAGCTGTACAGGTCTCTGTACTGGCATAATTTTTCTGGTGTTTTGTGACTTGTAAGTTGAGACAGATGAGCAATTCTGCTGTCTATGGTAGGATACAGTATAAGCTTGTGCTACAGCTTTGTCAGGCACATCTTCACATCTGCAACACGGTTAAGTAACAGTAAAAGCTGTTTTAAAATTAAATTTCAGGTGTTTGGCACTTTCTGTGCTGCAGCCCTGAGTGGTGTCAGTGCAACTGACAGTTGCAGTAGTGAGCAACAGCTTGAGATGTGCTGGTGGAAGTGATCAAGGCAAACAGTGGTTAAAAGAGCAGTTAGGGGGTTGAGGAGTTGACTTCCTCCTTTTTGCAGAGGTCTTGACGAGTCCTTTAGACAAGTCTGTAATGCATATTTGGTCCTGGACTGAACCTGGGGTCTTCACTTGCTAAGCCTCCTGCCTTGCCGTTTTGCAGTCATGATATCAGTTTGTTCTACATATGCTCGCTCCCAGCCACAGTTTCCCTCGGACCCTGCAACTCTCCATTTGTTTCCTCAACACAGGAATGTCCTGAGAGTGGTCCTAAGGTGATGGGAGACCAGTAGTTGCAAACCACAACAGCTCATCCAGCTACAACCTATTCTGTGTAAAAGCACACAGTTGAGCATAACTAGTTTTAACAGTTTCTGTGTTGCCATAGTTCTACCGATCTGTACCTAGGTAACACATCCCTGTTCAACCTGATCTACAGCAACTTCCTTAATTTGTGAGAAACAAGTCTTTAGAAAAGGTCCAGGCAAAATAAAAATAGCACTGCTCTTGTTAGGATTAGAGTTTTATGCTGAGTAGAAATATGAGGTTAGTTTCCAGTCTTGGGATTACTGGGTTGTGTCACAAGGCTGGAATTTTGTTATTAAACACTTGGCATGTTCTGCTGTTCCTCCAGCTAGCAACACAAATACAGCCGACACCAGGCTCTGCATATCCTGGGGATGAGTAGAAGGGAGTGGAGAATTGATTATGAAAGTTTTTCTGGAAACTCCAAACAGAAAACAGAATTGTGTTTGTCTAGTTCTTCACGTGTGGCCGTTGTGCTGGTCCACCTGAATGCCTGCACTGGTGCATAGGTTCTGTTTACACTGTCGGATTAATGACCTGGAAGTTGTCAGCTCTCATTTCCACTTGCAGAGCTGTCCTTGGAAACTGTGTGTGTCTTGTGCCATGGAATCCCTACTGCTTGGCTCTGCTCTCTTGCAAGGAGAGACGCAGGGACATTTTAGACCATCTATGAAGTTTATTTGGTAGCAAAGCTGTTGGTATTTCTGTTTTATGAATGAAGTGTCCTCAAATCAAAGGCAGTTTTATTCATTACCTCATTTATTATTTTAACAGAGCAAACCTGATCTAGTGACAAGCTCCGCCCTGAGGCACTTTTAAATGACTTGCTTGGATTCTTTTGTGTGTGCAGAAGAAAGGACTCCTGCACAGCCAGAGGGGTGCCATCAGCAGGGCCCCAGCCAGGGAGGTGCCCTTTCACCTTCTCCCAAGGACTGCTGACTTCATTTTCTTTGGACCACAGTTCCCTTTTCACTGATGTTTAGTAGCTGAGAGAGGGGACCGATTTCCTCCTCACTGTTACAGGACAGTTCATTCCTGTTGCTTGCTCCATTATCCAAGTTAGAAAGCAAGGCCTGGAGATGATAGTTTTTGTCCTCCTCTCTGGCGCTCCGCCATGCAGACACTCCCAAGCACTTAATAAACTGCTAACAGCCATATACAAAAGAACAGGAATCATCCAGTTAGGAATTCCAGGGACTGGATGTTTCTAGTGTTGGTGATAGTCCTCCTCTGAGTGGGAAGTGGGAGTATGGATCTCCAGAGATCCCTTCCACCTGATGTCTCTAGGATCCTCTTTCCACATGCTTTTTGCTCTGTGTGTGCAGTGCCACACAACCCGGCATCTATACTGGGGGCATGTGCTAAAATGTGACACATTTTTGGTGTGTTTTCTGCCTGTTCTCACTTGCACTATGGGAGCTGTGCCCTGAGTTCTCTGGATTTCCCAGAAAAAGTAGTTTGTTAGGGCTGTCTTCTTTTACGTAGCAGGACTCCACCAAGGCTTCTGAAGGTGCAAGGTAGGGGTACAAAGCTGTCATCTTCTGGTGATGGTTTGAGCCTGTAAGACTGAATTTCTCATTATCTCAATTTTATTTTCTTTCCTTGCTATGGAAGGCTTGCATGTCTGCATATGAACAGTTGGAGTTTGATTTTTTCTTTTTTTTTTTTTTTCCTTTTTAAGGAGAAGAGAGGAAAATAAAGTGGTATTTGGGTCAGCTGAGTCCATATAAGAAGCTAGACTTTTGCTCTTGGAGCATGGAGAGATTAATTTTCTGCTATTGCCAGGGGAGTCTGTAATGTAATTTTTTAAACAAGAAGAAATATGTAGCTGACAGTGAGTAAAGAATTCTTGAACTTAGACCATGTTGTCTCCCAGCTCTGCCAGGCTTCAGCAGCCAACATCCCTCATAGGCAGAGCTTGTCACCGTTTATTTGTTGAGACGTTAGTTTTCTTTTTTCTTGCTGCTTAACTTCTAGGAAGCCATTGCTTTCAGTGATCAGTTAGCATTACAGAACCTGGCACCTGGTGATGGAACAAGATGAGCATTCCCAGTAGTACATATTCACTGCAGGGCCCTTTGTTGTCCCCGAATGCTCCAGAACTTAGAAGCTGTGTCTTTGCAGCCTGGTTCTAAGTTGGCCTGTTTCCAGTTGGTCTTGGGAGCCTGTTCAGAGCTGAGAGGTGTGTGCAGCGGGTACCAAGAACAAGTTGTCATGCTTTTGTGGAAAGGGTACAGCAGTTTGAGCTTTGCTAAAGCACATTGGAGTCTCCAGTTGGCATTGAACCTTCCTCCCGTTTTTCTCAGGTGTGAGAGGAAGAATTGGGAGTCTGTTGTTCTGCTATAGACCTTTGATTTCTGTCCTTTAATATCTGTGATATCAAGTCTTCGTGATCTGTTCTAAAACCCCAGTGGGGTACAGCTGCAAAATTAAAGTTTTTTGCTGTAACTTGCTCTGTCAGCAGGGGGTAGACACCTGGCTGCCGCTGCAGCTCTCCTGTAAGCCTGGCACCCAAACATCTCTCTCGGAGGTTGCGTCTCTCTTGCCATGGAGTATTCAGACCTTCAGATTGTTTCTAGAGTTGCTTGAATAGCTAGCTTAATTTGAAAGGTAAATGAGTAAATCATTAGAGAAAACAAATCTGTTCTGATTTACTTTGCCCCGTAAGTGCTACAGATCATTCCAGTCTTGTGTGATTAGGATAAGAGTCCACACAACTTGTAAGCAGGAGATTTCCGTATCCTCAAAGATTCTGTCAGTGACCCTTTGATAACATCTTTGCAGGCTTATTAAGGACAGTGACATTTTTAGGGCAAGAGTGTAATTACTGTTCTTAAGGAAAGCGTGGTTTAAAGTTTGATTCACTCTGGAAATTTAGAAGGCTACTAGCATTTCCTCTCACTACTTTATTTATTTGAAAGTGCCAATGTCTTGTGATATCAAAGTTTGCCGATGATGTTTAATGCAGTGCATATACAATATCTTACAGTATATTGCAGTAAAAAAGTAGATATTAAAAGGTGATTCTGGTTATTATTTGTTAGAGTGAGAGTGATGCTGACCCTGTGGAAATCAGTGGCAAAGTCTTTACCAACCTCAACAGGACTAGAATATCACTTTGTAAACTTCTGCTTCACTGCTGTGGCACTTAAACCATGAAACTTAAGGGAAATGTGTTGTTATATGTGTGAATTTCTAGTCCCACAAGCCAACATCTGTAACGAGCGTTGAAGGATTTCTAAAGTTCTGGAAACAAATTTTCACTGAAGTGATTAAGCCAAATTTAAATCAGAACTTCTTTATTTGTGTGAACATTCAATGCGCTAGGAATAAAAACATCTAGGTTGTGTTTTGCTTTTGCTGGTAATAAGCATATGCTGTGTTAATTGTATTTGGGATGATATATTACCTTCAGGCAGCAAAAGATTATAATGCCTGGCTTTGACATGCTTTTGTAGCTGTAGTTCACTCTGCTGCACACACAGCAGTTAGTTTGAAGGCAATAGTTTGAATTTATTTAGAGAGCATGAGTGAGGCAGGTTCCAATTCAATGCTCGCTTGATGCCATGTATGTCCTGCAGGCAAAACTGCTTGTTAAGTCAGCTTCAGATGATGTTTCATAGCTAGAAACTCAGTCCTAACATATACTTTCCTCCTGTGTTGTTGCACTTGACAATGGGTAGTTTTTACTGAGTGTGAAGTTTTCTGCTGTTGATTTTGTTTGTGGATTTCCATGGACCAGGATGTATGATTTAATCTTTCATTCAGATAAAATGTGTTGATTAGACTCGCATAGTCCTGCTGCTTCTTAAGGCACAGTAGCTATTTTATGTTTGAGTCCTGTAGGTTTGCAACTGCTGCAAGTTAACATGCAGATTTTTGAAAGATTTTACTAACTCCCCTTTCTCCTGGGGAGCTCGACCTTAGCTATTCAGAGGAAAAAATTATTTTATCCCAAGATTTTAGGATTTTGAGATCT